TCTCTCTCTCTCTCTCTCTCTCTCTATATATATATATATATATATATATATATATATATTGCCAATTTAAAATAAGGGATTAAATAGACTTTATTCATATAGACGAGAGCCCTAATGAATAAGGTTTCTTTACGTATACATGATGAACATAAATTCTCAAATTATATGCATTTCCTTCATTCCCCACCCCCCCCCCCCTCCTCTTTTCTCTCTCTTAGAAACAAAGAGTTTGACACTGTTTTTTATTTATTGCACATTTTATTTTACATAATTTGTATCAATTTAAAATAACAAACTTGAAAAAATAAAATATGATTTGATTGGTAGAGCCTGTGATGGCCAAGCTGTGGACTAGTATGTATCGAGGCAGTTTATCCTATGCAAACGCTATTTGATTGAAGTATTGAACTGCAAGTGTAAACCAATTCGGGACAGTCTGCTATCATGATTTTGCTCACCAAGTCAGTAGTCACTATAAATTGACCATTGTTGACCAGTTAGTGTAGCAATGATTATAATCTCACTTACAAATGTATCACCATCATCTCGTTTACAGGTTCTAGCTAACCAAATTTGTATTCGTGTACAAAATCATCTCAGTGAGGTTTCATTGAGATCGATTCAAGAGAGAATATAACAGCAAAACAGAAAGGAATGGTAATCAATTAGTAACTCTATTGATTCACACAAACAGTATGACATAGATGTCAAACACAGTGGCTCAGAATAACAAAAAAAAGGGTAATTCTAAGAACATCCAGGTATAATACACTTGCCTTTTTTTTCTCAGCCACGGCTTTGAAGCGCCAAAAGACATCATCAAGCTTCTTTTCCCCCAAGTTGTAGCCAAGCTAGACAGGAAAACAATATGCATAAAACAGCTTCTCTAGCAAACTAGTAATGCAAATTTCAAGAGAACCACCCAGCAAATGGCTAGCTAACAACATGCCAAAAACACTATAAAAAATTACCTGTACAAGTCGAGACTTCAAGGCATGACGTCCACTGTATTAATTGACACGTACAACAATATCAGCAGATATAGATGTACGAACTCCTTATCAATGTGATTTAACGACCACGATATATAGGATAGCACATATGAAAGTTTTATCATTTTTAGATGAGATCCATAAATTTCAATATAAAAAAAAATTTAAAAGTATTAAATATTTCTAAAATTTTACATAATAAAATTTACTCCAACCTAAATCACTGAAACTGTCATGTTTTCCAATGATTCCCACTGTATCCACAAAATCACCAGCCTTTGTGACATCGTTGGTGGGAAACTTGGATTTCCAAATTCAAATTCTATACCATCGATAGGGCACATTCTGTTTGAAGGCATTCACGTGCTTTCAAAGAATACCCAACTTTACAACACCTCATTAAGTATTTCAATGTAAAAGGATTTCATGCATCCGTTTGTTCGCATAGTCACAGTCCATAGTCAAGGAGCTAGCATATCAAAATTCCTTTTCCATAAACACTACAATATATGATTCCCCACTTTCGACTAAAAATAAGACTCGGTAAATTAATAAGCACAAATTCCTATTCCCTAAAAGGGTCCTACTCCTACCCATAAAAAACACGAGTCCAAGACCAACATAATCTGTTCTATTTCTCTTTAAATTAAAGATTACATTGAATAATGTTGGCAACTCTTGCTCAATATTTTCACTTTTACCTCCATTGTGATTCTTCACTCAAAGCTTATAGTTTGTTCTCCAAACGAGAAAATTGATTGCCAAAATGCATCCATAGAATGACCTTACTGCTGATGATACTTAGAATTCGACAAAACTTAACTGCTTGCAACGAGATGGAACCAAGAATACGATTTAATCAAGACATTAAATTCAATTCGCTTATCTCATGCCCTCTTTTGGATACTCCAAGAAATTCAAGGCTCATGATACTTGAAGAAAAAACACCATGAGTTTCTTCTAATGTATAAAACTTGTTTTTTAATTAAGAAGAAGTTGGATTCGAATCTGGATAGAGCCAAGCAATTGTCAGCTCTGAAAAAAAATTGTTGTGACACTATGATTTAACTTCAAAGATTTTGTGGAGAACCTCTAATAAAAAGCAATGTAACCAAAGGTATGGAGAAAGAATCCACACTAGCCATGAAATCAACACTTGCATACAATACATGCAAATACAAGTCAACTAGCATGGCACCCATGCAATGCCAGGTTAAGTAAAATATTCAGCAAATATATAGAAGTAATTCAATTCTTAGTAATTAAGCCAATTATCAAACTTAACATGAAAATTATCAAATTTTACTGAAGAGTATTTTCTTATTTGATTAAATCATGCTCCTGTTTTGGATATGGAAATTGACTTCACCGAGGTGAAAACACTTTAGTTACAGATAACAACATGTTTGGCCCAACTTCAGCCAAAAAGGCCAAAATTGGCACCAGTCAAATATTTGAACTTCACATATAATGGCGTTGGAGTGATGTGAAAAAAGAAATTTCGATAAGGAAAGTTGGTGGAGTGATGAGGTCTAGAAGGCCATTAGCGAAAAACGATCATGATATAAAACTTGGCAGTGTAATAGAAACGATCTAAACTTAGAAGGATATAAAAATGCTAAGAAAAATGCTAAACAAATAGTAAGTTAAGCAAAAATTAAGGCATATGATAATCTATACAATAAACTAGGAACGAAAGAAGGTAAAAAAAATGTATTCCAATTAGCAAAAATAAGAGAGAAAAAATATAGGGATCTAAACCATATTAAATGCATTAAGAATGAAGATCAAAAGGTCTTGGTGAAGGATGACAAGGCCAACGAAAGATGGAGAGTTTATTTTAAAAAATTATTAAATGACGAACAAAATGGGAACATAGCTATAGAAAGAACTGTTGGTATAAATGAGAGCAGAGGTCATAGATACATTCGTAAGATTATGATGTCAAAAGTGAAATAAGCTTTGAAAATGATGAAGATAGGAAAGGCTTTAAGACCAGATGATATCCCGATAGAGGTTTGGAAGTGCATGGGGGAGATTGGCATTGACTGGCTGATGAAACTATTCAACAAGGTGCTGAGAACAAAATAAATGTCAGACGAATGGAGGAAAAGTATTGCGGTACTTATTTACAAGAATAAATGAGACATACAGAATTGTGCAATCTACTGAGTGATCAAGCTTATGAGCATATTATGAAGCTTTGGAAGAGAGTGATTGAGCAACGACTAAGGCATGAAGCGAGTGTATCTGAAAAACAATTTGGTTTTAGGCCAAGAAGGTTGACAACCAAGGCTATTTCCTACTTAGACAACTAATTGAGAAGTTTAAGGCAAAGGGAAAAGACCTCCACATGGTCTTTATTAAACCTAGAGAAAGCTTATGATAAAGTAGCTCGAGATTTGATTTGGAGGTTGTCGGAAAAGAAAAGAGTCTCTAGACACTACATCGACTTGGTGAGAGATATATACGATGCAGCGCTAACTAGTATGCGAACAACTACTGAACAGACAAGTAAGTTTTCAATGACAATAGGTCTACATCAAGGATCAGCATTGAACCCGTACCTCTTTGTCTTAGTTATGGATGACTTAACTAGGCACCTACAGGATGAGGTACCGTGGTGCATGTTGTTCACAGATGACATAGCTTTGATCGATGAGACCCGAAACGGCGTCAATACAAGTTAGAACTTTGGATGGAAGCTCTAGAATCCAAAGGTTCTAAAACTAGCCGGACTAAGACAGAGTATATGAAATGCAAGTTTAGTAGTAATAGGAGTAGAAATAAGGAAATAGTTAAGATTGATGGCCAGGAAGTACAAAAAAGACCCCACTTTTGATTCCTTGGGTCGATAATCTAAGAAAATAGAGAGATTGGGGAAGATGTGGCACATAGAATTAGAGCTGGGTGGGTGAAGTGGAAATGTGATCGCCGCATACCAATGAAGTTGAATGGTAAGTTCTATATGACAGTTGCGAGACCAGCTTTGCTTTATGGGGCAGAATGTTGGGCGGACAAAAAACAATACACCAATAAAATGAGTGTAGCAAAGATGAGGATGTTGAGATGAATGAGTGGCAAGCCAAGAAGGGATAGAATCCGAAATGAATCCATTCAGAAAATTTTAGGTGTGACACCAATAGGCGATAAGATAAAAGAGAGTAGACTTAGGTGGGCTGGCCATGTGTGGCGTCAAACCAGTACAGCACCTGTTAGGAGGTGCGAGTTAGTTCAAGTGGAAGGATTGAAAAGGGTAAGGGGTAGGCCAAAAAGGACGTGGTAGGAAGCAGTCCGAAAAGATATAGGGACTTATGGCCTCACTGAGGGTATGGCCTTTAATAGAGCAAAATGACAGATCAGGATTCATGTAGTCGACCCCAATTAATTGAGAAAAGGCTATAATGATGATGATGATGATATAACGGTGTTCACATTTTAGAAAATGCCAATTTTTTGCTCTTTTTAATGTAGTCTCTTAGGAGATTGATAGACCTAATTTAGTTTAAATCTAAATTAAATATTCTCAAACAACATGCAAAAACATATTTGTCTTTTAGATATTTAAAATTGATTGGAAAAAGCAACTATTATTTTAAGAATGGTTCATCTGTTGTGTGTCATAGTGATTGGATAGTGGAAATGACATGAATCCTACTATTAGTAAGATACAGGTATCAGAGTATTTCCTCCTTGTTCATAAAATTAAATTTCAAAAAAATTACATTATCTTCAAAATATCCTATAAACCTATAGTCATGTATGGATTACGAACTCAATCATTCACTTAAAAGAATGGCATAACCGAGAGTCGTTTATGATGTATCTCAACAAAATAGGATACTAGAACATAAGGAATTTTTTTTAATTATTTGAAAGCTTGGACAATCCTCTAAATATTTTAACTGGACAAGTAAAACTATTACTAGTTCAAAAAATGGACAACAATTACTAATTCAAAACGGCAAAATTTGGGATATTAAAAAATAAGGGAGTTTTTCTTTAATTTCAAATTTGGAATACATATCTTTTAAAAAAAATGTGCAAATTTCTTTTCGATCAAAATTGGTGATTTTCTATTTTTATTTTTAAAATTTAATTAACATCATTGCTTAATTAACATCATTGTTGCAGTTGTTAGCAATCCTGAATCCCAAAATTCAATTAACACGATTTTTAGTGTTTTGTTTATAAAAAGAATAAATCACCATATTATGCGTAATTGTACTATTTTCCTTTTTATTGAAAATCCAGATGTGCTTTATTTTAAATTCCATCCTGTTATAATGGATAATCTTGATCTGTTTTATATACATCTTCATGCAAACAAAGCACTTTATAAAGATTAAATTTCTAATATTAATACTTTTTGTTATAGGAAATACGGAAATATACAAAGAATTCCCATTTTATTATCGAAGTTTAAAAATGGAAAAATGGTCCCTTATAGTTCATATTTTACTCTCAAGTCCCACTTTTCGAGATCGCATATTGTATTTTAATTTTTGTTCTATATATCAGATTAAACTCAAATTTTGGACAACGCACTTGTATAAAATCATCATCATGTCAGAGCTTTTTCCCAACTAATTGGGTCGGCTATGCACTTATATAAAATAAAAAGACTAATTTGAAAGAAATAAAATGACCAAAATACCTCCTGAAACTTGTAGGTTTGTTGAATTAATTTTATTATATTTTTACAAGTGCATGATGGTGAGAGGAATGAATGTAAAATTTGAGGAACTGTTTTCAAGTTATGGCAATAGAATAAGATTTTCCTGTACATTTCCCTAAGAAATAATAATTACTGTATACAGTGATTTCAAACACAGACTATGGTCTGGACTCACTAGGGCCCCCAAGTAAGCCGATCCTGTTTAAATAAAAAACAATGTGAAAATACTGGACTCGGGCAAGTCTTATGTTTTAAAATGGACTCGCTAGAGTCCCCAGGCAAGTTGACATGGGCGAGTCCCAAGTCAACTTGGAATGTCACCTACCATATAATTCTTGGTCAAACATTGCCCAAACAGTCCACAAAATAAAGAAGTTACATGTCAAGAGAGAAAGAAATTGATTGGATGGAATAGAAGGTGAGAAGTATGAGAAAATTGTAGTACAACAACTTGGATAGAAAGAAAGGTGTATAGAAAGTGAGGAGATTAAAAGAATTTGGATATAAAGAGAGGAGATTTTGATTTACCAGGGAGAGAGAAAGGCAAATTGGAGTGGAGGTGTCAGGGAAGAAAAAATAAGTGATAACCAGGGTTCAAGATGAGTGCTAGTAGAACATAACCAGTATGCAATGACAAGGGAAAAAAGAACATATAAATATAGGTAAGCCACAAAAGAAATAAAGAATGACTGGCAACCTGACATAGGTTGATCACGTAAAATGTCAAATAACAAACATAAGGAATTAATAGCACCTAACTAGAGGGAAAAGAAATTTTAGGAGAAACTAGAGGAAAAAGAAATTTCGACAAAGAAATCTGGTGGTGGAGTGAGGGGGTTCAGAAGGATATTAGCGAAAAACGATCATATTATAAAGCTTAAAAATGTAATAGACATGATCAAAACTTAGAAGAATATAAAAAATGCTAAGAAAAATGCTAAGAAAATAATAAATAAGGCTAAACTTAAAGCATATAATAATCTATGCAATAAAGTGCGGATAAGAAAAGGTGAAAAAGAAGTCTTCAAACTAGCAAAAATGAGAGCGCAGAAATATTCGGATGTAGATCACATTAGATGCACTAAGAGTGAGGATCAAAGAATCCTGGTGAAAGATGACAAGGTCAACAAGCGGTGAAGAATTTATTTTTAAAGATTGTTTAATAACAAACACTATGAAAACACAACGTTAGGAGGAACCCTTGACATAAATGAGGGCAAAGGTCATAATTACATTTGTAAGATTAGGATATCTGAAGTGAAAGAAGCTTTGAGAAAGATGGAGATAAGAAAGGCTTTAGGACCAGATGGTATCCTGATAGAGAGGTTTGGAAGTGCATGGGGGAGATTGACACATGCTGGCAGTTGGCTTAGCAAGTTGTTCAACAAGGTATTGAGAACAAAGAAAATACTAGACAAATAGAGAAAAAGTATTATGGTACCTATTTACAAGAACAAAGGAGACATGCAGAATTGTACGAACTATCGAGGAATAAACTTATGAGCCACACTATGAAGCTGTGGGAGAGAGTGGTTGAACAATGACTAAAGCGTGAAACGCGTATGTAACAAAACCAATTCGATTTTATGTCAGAGAGGTCAACTATTGAAGCCATTTTCCTACTTAGGCAACTAATTGAGAAGTTCAGGGCAAAAGAAAAAGACCTCCACATGGTCCTTATTGATTTAGAGAAAGTATCTGAAAGGGTACCTAAAAATTTAATTTGGTGGGTGTTGGAGAAGAAATGAGTCACCAGAGGCTATGCTGACATAGTGAGATATATATGTGGGAGTGCTAACTAGTATGCGGACAACCAGTGGAAAGACAAGTAAATTCTCAGTGATAATAGGCTTACATCAGGGTCAGCGCTAAGCCCATATCTCTTTGCTTTGGTAACGAACGAGTTAACCAAGTAGCTACAAGATGAGATAACATGATGTATGTTATTCACGGATGACAGTTTTGATCAATGAGATTAGCGACGGCATCAACACAAAGTTGGAACGTTAGAGGGATGCTCTACAATTTAAAAGTTTCAAAATTAACCGGATTAAGACAATAAATGAAATGCAAGTTTAGTAATAATAGGAGTAGAAACGAGGAAGTAGTTAAGATTGATGGTTAAGAAATACCTAAAAGCGATTGCTACTCATATCTAGGGTCGATAATATAGGAGAATGGAGAGATTGAGGAAGATATCGCACATAAAATTACAGCTGGATGGGCAAAAGTAGAGATGTACATCCGGAGTTATATGTGATCGTTACGTATCATTGAGATTGAAGTGGAAGTTCTATAGGATGCTTGTAGGACCAGCCTTGCTTTATGAGACGGAATGTTGGGCGGTCAAGAAACAACACATCCATAGGATGAGCATAGCTGAGATGTGGATGTTGAGATGGATGAGTGGCAAAACAAGAAAGGATAAAATTCAAAACGAATACATACAAGAGAACTTAGGTGTGACTTCAAGAGGTGCAATTTGGTTCAAATGGAAAGCTCCGAATGGGCAAAGGGAAGGCCCAAAAGGACATGGATAGAAGCAGTGAGGAAAAATATAGTGACTTTTGGTCTGCCTGAGGTTATGGCCCTTGATAGAGAAGAATGAAAGAACAAGATTCATATCAACGATACCAAATAATTAGGATAAGGCTTGGATAATAATGATGATGATGAATTAATAGTACCTAACATATATTGCAGTTTACAAGTAAATAGCACTTGCCATCAATAGTACATGAGTCATTCTATGACAATGATGAGCAATATGCATTTTTCCTATCAATGTCTTAAATAGTTTTCGACACGAGAACCTGCCAATGCTACAAAGTCATCTCATACTAAAAGCTCATACTAAAAGGTGTGGGCAGTAGAAAATCAAAGAACAATGCCCATCTCCCCTCCACTGCTTGTTGATAGCATCCCGATTAGATTTTTACATCCCTTAAGCTCCTTTTGAGTGGACGTCTAGATGCTCCAGACCACATCGCAACAAGTGAAAGATGGCAGAACTCATAAAACCTTTATTGCACTTATTTCATTTGCGGCCACAGCTTGTTCCCTTTTCATCTCTATAATATTTGGTTGCCCAATAAAGCAATTTGGAACCTCAACAACATGAAAATGTACCATACATTTACAACAAGAAAAATTTTCCTTTGCCATGTAAATATTTTGTGATCTCGCTTTTTTTTATCTAAGGCTTTAGATAAAACATGGTCGCATGATTTATAGACAATGGCATACCTTGATTAGTTTGATAGTCAATACGGCAAGTGATGGTAGCCCCTTTTCTCCTAAGTAGCCTTAGATCAGAGAAGGCAGATAGGAGCCTTTAGAGCTTGGCAGTTGTTCCTTAGTTAAATTGGATTTCGCCTCTCATCGCAAGCCTTTGGGTTTAATCTAAGATAGTCTCAGACAGCTCGATTGGTCGAGACTGCAATTGTTTGGGTAGTAGTTCCATACTCACAGCTAGTGAAGTAGTTGAGCCTCAAAAACCTAATTACCTTTACCAGGATAAAAGAAAGTTTGAAAGAAACTGGCATCCTTGCACCAACCTAACAGAAAACAAACTGGTATCCTTTGAAACACACAAGTTACTGCCTGGATATCATCAGCCAGACATTTATTGCATGCAAGTATTAGGAAGGTAAATATCACACTCAATCAAGGCCAACCTATCAGAATAAAACCTAAAACATTAGGCATTACAAAAAGAAAAAAGAAACACTACATCACAAAAATTTCTATAACCTCAAGTAAGTACTCCACAGGAAATGAACAATGCCAGGTGGATAAGCACATCATCAAACACGTGTCAAAATGCATACCTAAGCTTTCCAAGCACAATACCCGACTCAGTAGAGCGATTCAATCCAATATCACTAGGAGAAAGAATTTCATATGTGCCTTGAAATTTCAGCATTCCATCCTGAAAGGTATGGAATGTCACAAAAGTAGCTGATAAAGGATACTGCTTGTACAAATATCAATACAAAAGAATGCTGATATGCACTCAATATAAGCTTGTCAAGATGGCGCTTATGATCACCCAAGTGATCATATGGAGCTTTTATCATTAGCACATGAGCATATTTATCCAATATTGATGCAAGTCTAATGACCTAATAAAAAGAAGCAAAACTAGCATTTAAAAGAAAACAATGGACTAAATGATCAAAAAGATGCTTTGAGATAGTAAATACCAAATACAACTTCATATAATAACAATGAGCCTATAAAAATGTTAGCCAATCCTATACCCCCCACCCCCCCCAGGCCAAAAAAAACAAACAAACCCTTCTTCTAAAGCCCCTCCTCGGGTTTCTTCTCAACTCTCCAAGACTGTAACTGCACCACCACTATAGGAATGTGGAAACTGCAAGAAAACCCCGGCCCACCCAATCCCTCTTCAACACTCTCCAACACCGATACCCCAGAAACCAGGGTGACCTGGATCTTCGAGGACCAGATATCAAACTAAACCATCACCAGTAAGGAATGACTGGTAAGCTGGAACATTGACATATATCCTTATATACATCATTCTTTCTGCAAAGAATGCCAAGTCATACATATAGCCTACCAATCTGATAAGCCACTATAGTACAGATCCTTCCAACTATTCAAAGGAATTTCAAGGATCCTAATTCCAATAACTTAAAGATATCCACCTCCTATGTTCAAAAAGTCTACCGCCCAGGCGGTTGGGAGGCCTTACCACCACGCACTGGGACTATTCGGCCTAGTGCAGGATGGTGGCCCAGGGCGGCTGACTAATCGCTCTAGGTGGCCCCTAACCCCCCTCTCCCCTTGCTTTTACATGGTGGGCTGCCACCCAAGCGGTTGGGACCCCGACCGCCCCGGCTGCCGCTGCCGCCCCTGTCTTTTTTAAAAAAGAATCAAATAACTCAAAGATAACACTCTGATAAGGTCTTTGTGTATGTATTTTTTAATCATGTCTCAAACTTCATGCAATATCAAGAACAAGACAATACAGAATATAAATGATGCAAGTTTAGTAGAATAACCAGTTGAAAAATATTTAGTCAACGCAAATAAATATATAAAAGTGAAAGGACAGAGTCGATCTTTCTACTACTTTAAAGCAACATATGCTCTAAGATATGTCACTGTCACACATGATGTCCAACATCACTCCTCAATAAATCCCAAGTTGGACATGACACATCCTTCCAATTTGGACATATAAGCAGGTTTACGTCCAGGTACTTGTACACTCAGTCAACTTTTATAATTAATATGGAAGGCCCTGTTTGAAGGGCCCAACTACTCCATTTGCAAATGGGGTTATCTGGAAACAAATGAAGAACCGATCCGTTTTTTACTCTTAAATGGGGACGGGAATAAACACACTTACTGATGGTCCATCCAAATGGGGCCTATATGAATCAAAAGAAGACATTAACAAATCCTGGACAAACTCATCAAACTTCTAGACACGAATGCCCAAATATTGGACGCACAAGTGTAAATTTTTTTGCACATGTCCAAGCTGGGGAAACACATGTGTGAACTAAAAATTCAAAATTTGGACAAGTGTGTTGATGGCCAGGATGTTGTCTTCTGTGTCTCTAACACAAAAATGCAAAATGTGCCACGAAAGTGTCAAAATGAGAGTCTGACATATCCAACATTTGTCTTTGAAATATTCCAAGCAAATTAAAACAAGCACATAAAAACTGCTACAAAGAAGACACGCACACGCACACTCACACTCACACTCACACTCACACTCACACTCACTCACACTCACACTCACACTCACACTCACACTCACACTCACATGCACACGCACACATATATAGGAGAACACTTAAAACGGCCATGAGCAAATTTCTACAGTACTTCGTTTGTAGCTCACCACAGTCCAAAGTCCATTGGACAATCACGGTTGTCCGATAATCTTTGAATTTTCTTTTTCTTTTTTACAAATTATATTCGCCTGAAAGTTGGGGCAATCATGTACATCTAACCATCACTCACTAAACAAAAATATTAAAGATATAACTATCAAAAAATAAATGACCAATATACCCTTAAAATATTCATAGGGGTATTTTTGGTCATTCACTCCTTTGTATTATTTCAAATAACGTCTTTATATTTTTTTACGAGCGCCTCACTGAAGCTCACACACCCTTGAAATTTGAGGTTAATCCAATTTGTAAAAAGAATATTAAATTTCAAAAACTCAAACTCAAACACTATTGGACATTCATGGCTGCCCAATGGATTTCGAACTATGATGAGCCTTTACTATAGAAACTTGCACATGGGTGTTTTTAAGTGTTATATATATATATGCGTGTGTGTGTGTGTGTGGGGATAACGTTTTGATGAGTCCCCCACTCATCTATTTACATGAGTCCTCCCTCCAAAATTATAAATTTCGGGGTTGAGAAATTCCACCATGGTGAACATGAGTACAAGTGAAAATAAATTTCAAAAATAAAAAATAATAATAATCTTTGATATGTTTTTAACACTGTCTATTTTAAGTTTTCATGGGACTACCATTTTCCATGTCCATCTTTAAGATGTGTGTTTGATGCGTCAGGGGCCACTTATGTGAAATTGCATGCCCTAACGTACGAAACATTTTTCATGTGGAATTGCATCCACCAATGCACGATTTATCGATTCTATCTATCCATCTATCTATCTATCTATCCATCTATCTGTTTATCTGTCTATATGTCTATTTGTTGATGTCTGTCTATATGTCTATTTGTTGATGTCTGTCTATCTATCTATATGTCTATCTATTTATCTATATGTCTATCTATTTATCTATCTGTCTATCTATCTATCTATCAGTATGTTTTACCTATCAATCCATCTATCTATCAGTATGTTTTACCTATCCATCTATCTATTGGTCTATATGTATGTCAATCTATCTGTGGGGTTGTATGTCTATCTATCTGTCTAGCTAACTATCTATCTATTTCTCCTTCTATCTGTCTATCTGCCTATCTGTCTATTTCTCCGTATGTCTGTCTATCTGTCTGTCTCTATCTATCTATATATCCATTCATCGATCCATGCATCCATCTATTTATCTATTTACCTACCTATCCATCGATCCATCTATTTGTCCATCCATCTATTTGTCCATCTATCTATTCATCCATACATCCATCTATCTATCTATCTATCTATCCCTCCATCCATTCAGCTATCTATCCATCTATCTATCTATCACTATCTATCTACCTATCTATCTATCTATCTACCCATAACTCTACGAAAATAACACCCATATGATCAGACATATCCAATGACGTGCATCGGTAATTCTGTATGATAAATAGAAAAAAAAAATTGAGAGATTTCTCACCTGATGGATACCACTTTCATGAGCAAAAGCATTGGCTCCAACAATAGCCTTATGTGGCTGTACAGGCATCCCAGTATATTCTGTTACCTGCACAAGTAGGCAGCCAACAATGAAAAAGTAATCATCCGTGAAGAAACAAACAATCATCCAAAAGGTAGAAAAAAAACAAAAAATAGAAAGCTCTGTCGATGAACGTGAGAAGTGAGTTCCCTACTCCCTTCATCTCTTCTAATTTGATATTTACCATCTTGCTCGCCATTGCAATTTGCTTGGTGTTAATTCCAGTATACAGTCCCCCCAGCAGCTCCTTTCCCCGCAAATGTAAGGCCATGACCACCTACATTAAACATGCAACACCTCTGTTGAACAAGAACAATAAAATTTGAACTATGCTAGTGATAACATGGAGCCATGAAGATTCAACTATTGAATCAGGATAACAAAATTTGAAGAGCCAGCAAGAGCATAGGGATTCAATTGCAATACAAGGTCATCACACCTCCTCCAAAGAAGCATTCCCTGCCCTTTCACCAATTCCATTTACAGTGACCTCCAACTGCCGTGCTCCTGCATAAGCCCCCTGTGAGAGATTAACGCCAGGTATGAGTTTACAAATTTCTACAATCAAATTTAACAAGAAAAAAGAAGAAAAAAATCTGCCTGAGCAGCTGACAACATTGAGCCTTGTCACAAGCAGAGAGAAATGACTTACCGCCAATGTGTTTGATGACGCGAGACCAAGGTCATTTTGGCAATGGGTTGAAATAATCACATTCTCGATGCCTGGGGTGTTGGCTCTGATGTCAGAAATCAACTTCCCATATTCACTGGGCAATGTGTATCCGACTGTATCAGGTATGTTGAGTGTCGTTGCACCGGCCTTTATAGCCTCTCCGAGAACTAGATAAAGAAATTCCCTATCAGATCTGTCAAAAACCAACTAACCCGTTTGTCAAAATTGCTCTCCATTCTTTTCATTTAACCATCAATATTCCATAATCCTATGGAGGAACTACGTAAGCATCAGTTAGTCATTTCAGCCATTTCAGAGACAACTTGTTTGAAAGGTCCGAAAGGCATTTTCTTTAGTCTTGTTTTCTATAATTTCGAAGACAATCTCATGACTTGTATAATGACAAACTACAAAATCATTTTAACTTGCATGACACTATCATAATGATCATTTGTATCAAAATAAACAGCTGTAAGTTCCTAGCCAGAAAATGAAAGGAGAATCAATCTATCAGCTTCAAAAGAGATAATCAAAAAAGCATCAGGGAATCAGAATCACAGCCTCAAAATTGCAAAAAAATCTTAGTGCAGCGGGTTGATGTCCCAACTCTGAAAAAGGAAAGGATAATAGCCATAACCCATAAAGCCATCTTCCCACCCACATTGACCATCCTAACTGTAGGAACCAAACTGTAAGTTGTAGTAACAGTAGTAGTAATTCTAATGATGAACTCTGTAAAAATGATTAATACTGTAAAATAGGAAATTTCAAAAGCAAAAAAAGGTGAAAAGAAAAAAGAGAATAATAGTAGTAGAGCAAATCACAGTGATAGTGATGACTGATGTACAATAAGAAATTTGAAAGGCAAAGAAATGGAAGAGAATGGTAGAAGTAGTAGAGAGGTCCCCACCTCCCAGCATCCTCCGGGCTGAACTCAACATCGGGGCAGCCAAGGCTTCTGGCGTAGGCAACCATGCTGCGAGCAATCTCCAGCACCTCATCCCTTGTCTTCTTGAGCTTGTGCTCCAAGTGAATCTCACTCGTGGCGATGAAGATATGGATCCTAGGCCTCACCGCGCGCTGTACTGCCTCCCATGCGGCATCAATGTCGGCCTTGTTACATCTCGCCAGCCCACAGATGACAGGCACGTACCCCGAGTCATCAATGAAGCTCCCGACATCGGCCGCGATCATCTTGATGGCCTCAAGGTCCTCCCGGGAGGCGATCGGGAACCCGGCTTCGATGATATCAACACCTAGGCGTGCTAGCTGGCGGGCCACATCAAGTTTCTCCTTGCTCGTCATCGATGCCCCCGGGCTCTGTTCCCCATCCCGCAGCGTCGTGTCGAATATGCGGACATACTGCAGGTCGTCTATCCGGTTCGGAAGGTACTCCGGGCGCTGCTGACCCCCGCCACCAAGAGCGTGGCAGCGGCAGGAAGAGTGTTTCCTAACTGGCAAATGAGACTCTGGTTCTCTCCAGACAAAACCGGAAAGAAGGGCTTTTCTGGTGAAATTAGGGATTGGAAAGGTTGGGCGGTAACACGCTTGGGGGAAACCACTGGCATTGTTATTGTTGTAGTGAGCAGAAGAATAAGGAGGGGCATAACACAGTTGGAGGGAGGCCATGGCTGTATAAATAAGGGAATCAAAAGGAACTCCTCTCCTCTGCAGAGATCCGCACTCTCTTATCAGGAACAAAGAAATCCTACTCCGCCTCTAGACACGCCCACCGCCGCCACCGCCACCGCCACCGCCACCGCCACCGCCACCGCCACCGCCAGTTTTAGTAAAGAGATAAAACATCTGAGCTGACCTGCTTGCCTATCGCGATTGCCACAGAGCGGTCCTGTGTGTCGGCTGTGGGAAGTAAGGAATCCCACCAATTTCCGTCGCGCCTTGGGTGAGATCCGGGGTCTGCTTCGGGCCGAGCTATGACCTCTTCGGCTTAGGGATGGCAACCGGTTCGGATCATAGTCGGCAAATCCCCGTTTAAAAGCCGATTTTTTAAAAAACAATCGGAGCTTTTATGAAAAACGTTTCAAACGGCATCCTTTTGAAAAGCTCGGAAAAAAATCGCATTTTTTTAAGAAAAAACTTAAAAACGCAACTTTATGAAAAAACGAATTATACGGATGAAAAAAACGTATCCTGTAATTTTTTTTTTTTGAAAGATACTTTTTTTCCTTATTTTATGTATTTCTATTTTCATGCTTTCTAAAAAAAAAAAAATACGTGTCTTAGAAGAAAAATTACATATTACATATGAAAAAAAAATCACCTCTTCTTTTACTCTATCTAAAATCAACTCTACATCTCTTCTTACCTTTCCAAATCTTCCCAAGCCCAAAAAATGATTACCCAAATCTCAATGACTAGAATATGGTTAGGGTTTCTTTTTCTCTCTCTCTAAAATTAGTTCTATAATCTCTTTTTGCTTTTCCAAATCTTGTTCGAGCCCTAAAAATGAGTACCCAAATCTCTATACCTGGGCGTGCTTGGTTAGGGTTTCTTTCTCTCTCTAAAATTAGCTCCACCAACTTTTCTTACCTTTTTAAATCTTGCCCGAACCGTTAAGTTTCTCTCTTTATAAAAACAATGATTCCAATTTTTGCCCGGTCAGGGTTTCTTTCTCTCTCTAAATACATAGCAACGAAGTCCCATGCCCTGCCCGAGCTCCGTTTTAAGCTTTTTCAATACATTGTATGAGAGGGCATGAACTTTTAATATTGCTCATTTCCTAAAAACGAGGACAAAAAAACTATATGCTCTAAGGATTATAGTGTCTTTCTACACATAAGTAGAAAACATTATTGGGATTATTGTTAAGCTACCATGCTATTTTATGTTATTGGGATTATTATTATTAAGCTACCATGCTAGAAAACTATCGTACAAATTAAACATACATTTATCCGATTTTTTGACTCCGAATGTTTTTTGGCCTAGTACGATGAATTGACGATATCTTTACATGAAATATTTTTGCCGATCCATGTATTTTAATTGAATTTTTTATCTGACTTTTAAAAATAAAAACGATTTATTTCTAATTTTATGATGAGGTGATATATTGATAGTCCCCGACTTGCTAACTATGGTACGGATACAGTTGGGTTCGATTAGATCCGGATCCAGAACTGGACCGAAATAGTTTTTGAGTCCAAATTTTGGATTCATATCCAGACATGGCTATAAGCATTTTTTTTTTTTTGTCTTTTTTTTTTTTCAATAATACTGTAAATATTGCCAATATTGTGACAAAATGAACACCTAGTGCAAGCTTAACGACACATGATTGCCATCATATATCCTATGCCTACAGATCCAGGTTCGGGTCCGGGTCTAGGTTCAGTTGGACCCGGACCTAGACCCGAATGGTATTCGGGTCCAAATTTTGGACCGATACCCAGACCCGAGGTCAGGTATACCCGTCGGTTATGTTGCCGCTCCTACTTCAGCTTAAGTATATAAATATCTATATAGAAGTATTTTTTATTTTTTGAATTTTTTATTTTTTTTATATCATTTATGTATAAATATCTAATTTATTTATATTAAATTAAAAAAAAATCCGAAGTCTTCCCCCGAATCGTTCGAAGCATTTAATTTATTTAGGGGCCGTTTGGATACTTGGAAATATATTGTCTGTGAAATATATTACGGGTGTAATACATTACTGCGTATCACATTAGCTGCAAATGGATTGTCACTGTTTGGGTAGTATGTAGATGCAACTTGGGTAATACATTGCTACTGTTTGGTTATGTACGGAAGAAATATGAGAAATGCATTACCATCCAAATATGAAAAATATGGCTATATTTGGCTAACATGATTAGACTTTGATTTCAACATGATAAGTCATTGAAATAATATGGTTGGAATAACATGATTTTTTTGTGATAAGCCTTATTTTTATTTATTTATTATAGAAGTATTTGAAATGTTTCTTTATATATAATTTCAAATAAGCAATAAAATTATAATATCAAAATCAAAATCTTTATGGTACAAGTTAAAAAAAGGGAAAAAGTTTGATTAGTAAACCAGAAGGTTTGGTAATTGCAGTACAAAATTTTGAAGCATTGGAGGAGATTAAAGAAGTATATTATTTAATTAAGCTTTTACTAATCTATTATCAAGTCTCATCGATTACCAATTATTATTTTTATTATTTGTCTCATCGATTACCAATTATTATTTTTGTTTTTATACAAGAGCTGATGGGGTTATGTAATAATCCTAAAATTTCAAAAATAAAAAAAATAAAAAAAGAAAGAAAATAAACTTTTATAAGTAATGGTCTATATAAATATGATGGTCCTTAGGAACCATCACCACTTTTGTTAACCTTTTACTTTCCCTTTAACACGTCTCGGGACTTAAAGCGTTTACGTTTAATATAATCTTAATATAATCGTTACACCTCGTGTATGAGGTGTAACTTAATAAAATATTATTATAAGGTGTCGTAAGAGTTTAGATACGAGAGGCGAGGACTCCCACTTTAGAAAATTTTGAAGTCTCTCTCTAGTTGAATTTTTATCAGAAGCTCCAGCTCAAAATATTTTAGGTAAGTGACATCAGTATCTTGAAAAATAATCCGTTATTTTTAAAAATAAAATGAAATAATTATTTTTACATATTATCATGAATTTTAAGCGCGATAAATTTTATGCGCAAGTGGCCTCATTATTTTGAAAAATAATCTTTTTAATAAAATTATAATATTACAAATTTTAAATGCTGTAAATTCTTAAAAATAAATTTATTTATTTATTTTTCTTGTTTATTGTTAGAAAATTTTAGAAATAAAATTATTAGAAATAAATGTGATATTTCTGATGTTAGTAAAATTGTGAGATTTTTTTCTACTGTTTTTGAATATTTAGACAATGTAAAATTCATGTACAAATGACTGTCTTATTATTTAAAAATTGATATTTTTGCAATTGATTATAGCATTGTTGTGAAATGTTTATTTGTGAATTGATATCCCATAAATTGTGATAATTCTGTATTCTTGAATTTCTATAAGAGTTTTTCTATACATATTAAATTGGCAATTATGCTAGAATGTCTTTATGAACTGCTACATTTCTAAATTTGAGCCCAAAATATTTGATTGGTTATTTTTGAAATGTTGTTGAAAGTGACTGTTATTAATAGTTTTAGTGAAATTCATATTAATGATTTCAGTGATATGTTGAGTACATGATATTGCTGTTTTCGAATGTTTAAAGAGATTTAAAAATACTTTAAGTATGCAAGTGGACTCATCTGGTTCATCGGTGAGGTCTAAGTGGACCTATCCGGGACGCCGGTATGGATTAAGTGGACTCATCCGGTACACCGGTGAGGTATAAGTGGACCTGCAGGGATTAAATGGACCTATTTGGGACGTCAATAGGGATTAAGTGGACCCATCGGGACGCTGATGGGGTATATAGGTGACCTACTTGGGACGCTAGTAGGGTAATTTTGTGGAATCTTTTGAATTATGCACTGCCGTTAAAAATGTTATATGCATTTCAATCATTTGGATTATGTTTAATTGTGCATTTCTGAAAGTGAAATTGTTATCTATAAATGCTTGTGCTTGCATTATTTTTAATTGACCTCCATTTTGAAAGTTTGTTTATATCTTTCATCGATGATTATTTTTAGGATTATGATGATCACTTACTGAGTAGCCAAACTCATCAAACTATGGTAAACATTTTTCAGGATAACTGCAGTTTCATTTGACTGCTTGTCAGGATCAACTTTGGAAGATATTGTAGTTGTGCCTAAGCTTTCTTTTGTTACTTTATAAGATATCGCCACTGTAAATTTATCCTATCAAGAGATGTATATATGTTTTGACTGTCACATCTCAGGAATATTTGTATTGTAAATTCTTGGGGTGTGACAGGCTACAACCCAAATTGGGGATAGAGGGATGTAAATTTTCTTTTATTATAATTTCAGTAGAAAATTGTCCCTCATCAAGTTCTATTCAAATCAATTTAGATTTCCCTCTACTTTCGCCTACCAATTTTTAAATTTTTTGCTTTTATATGAGAGTCTGATGAGGGCTACAACCAAATTGGGAAGAGAGGGATGTAGAAATTTTTTATTATAATTGCAGTAGAAAATTGTCTTCATACACTTGTTCAAATCAATTTAGATTTCCCTTTTCATATCTCTAACTTTCACTTTATATTTACCTGTACAGCGATATTTGAGAGAAGGAAATATTTTTTTAAGTGGGGATAGGGTAGAGAGACACACGCGAAAGATTTCCAAATATTACCAGTCAACCTTGTAATAGATTTTTCACCCCTCATAGCTGATTTTATGATTTTTGGAGAAATCTCATTTAATTAAAGTATACCCAAACAGTGTAAATCTCATATTTCCTTGTAATCTATTGTCACATAATAGATGTTTTTGGTCACGTAATAGATTTTCATGTACCAAATTGTCCCTTATATTAAATTAAAAAAATATGAAATCTTCCCCTAAATTGGTGGAAGTACATAATTAATGTCTCCAATGTTGGAGCCTCTATCGCAACAATTTGGATTCGGCTATGCGAATCACCGAATTCCGAGAGGAGACACAAGTTCACATACACTGCCATTAATCTTCACATACCACTTCAACGGGGAGTGTTGTTACATACTTACACACACACTGCCCGTAATCTCGAGGGGTCTCTTCAAAGGCTAATGATGGCTTCTCTCTTTAGTGACCGCATCTCTTCAACGGCCAGTGATTACTCAAATATCGAGCATCAAGCCCGACCCGTACACATGCCGTGCATGTCGCACACTTAGCTCTCACCTCTGTACTAAGAGTATAAACTATGGGAATGCCCTCACTTAAATACCACTCAATCTACACTATCTTCTTCAAATGTGGGGCTGAAAATCCACACATTTCCCACTCTACAAAATAAATCTTAGGAAACTAAACAAAGCATTATGTTATTTTGAAATACACACAAATAATTAAACCAAAAATACTAACAGTTAAAAATAATAAACAAATAAAACCAGGAGAGGGACCTAGATTGCCCACCAACTTAATCCAATCTAGAGTCAACCTGACCCAAAATCTGAGCTTCCATGCTTAGGATGTTCCCAGCCCGCCTGTCCTGGTTGGCAGCTCTTTACAAAAGAAGGAAAGTTCATAGGTAGTGTTAGTATTTTTGTTTTATAAAATATTTGTGTGTATTTTAAAACAATATGGTTTTGTGGTTCTTTTCTAAACTGATTTATAAAGGGAGAAAGATGCAGGTTTGAGTCCCGCATTGAAAAGGGAAGAAGTTATTGAGTTGTATCTTAGAGCAAGCATTCTCATGCACTATACTCTCAGTGCAAAGGTGAGAGAGATTGTGGATATGTGGAGAAAGAGATTGTGCATATGTGCATGTGCACGTGCATGTGCGAGGGCATGCATGTGCGAGGCCGTGCACACACACATGCAGTCACTTTTCAAAGATGTAGCCTTGCTGTGCTGCAGCTCTAACATCCATCACAGGGGTTCTTTTCTCGAATAGTTTATTCATCTCCCTTAGATACCATCACAGGGTTTCTTTGCTCAAAAGAAAAACTGAGATGGATTTATCTCGAATAGTTTATTCATGCAAATTCTGCAATTGCATGTTATAAAAAGGATGCCTCCATCACAGGGTTTCTTTGCTTAAAAGAAAAAACTGAGATGGATGTATCTCGAATAGTTTATTCATGCAAATTCTGCAATTGCATGTTATAAAGAGGATGCCAAGAAAGCTTTCTGTTATTCCTTAAACTAAAGTGGAGCCCCCTCGATGCCAAGACAGCTTTCTGTTATTCCTTAAACTAAAGTGGAGCCCCCTCAATGCCAAGAAAGCTTTCTCTTATTCCTTAAACTAAAGTGGAGCAGATCCCTTGTGGTCGTAGCGCTTAAACTAAAGTGGAGCATATCCCTTGTGGTCGTAGTGCTTAGCGCTTAAACTAAAGTGGAGCCCCCTCAATGCCAAGAACGCTTTCTGTTATTCCTTAAACTAAAGTGGAGCAGATCCCTTGTGGTCGTAGCGCTTAAACTAAAGTGGAGCATATCCCTTGTGGTCGTAGTGCTTAGCAGCAGTATGTTCGTACAAACCAACTAAAGTGGAGCATATCCCTTGTGGTAGTAGTGCTTAGCAGCAGTATGTTAGTACAAACCACGGATAAGAAGAACACACCTTTGGTGGTTGACATCCATGTTTCAAAGTTGCCTTGAGAGAATATATTCACATGGCTGCTGATTCTCCCAAAATTGACCAGTGCACTTATGCAGCCCAACTTTTACTAAATCATCGACGCGAATGTGCACATCTGTTTTTTGTCAATGGCCCGAGAATTAGAATGAGGATTTGAAGAGAAAATTGACACACACTCCAGAGTGGTTAGAAATTACAGGATTGAGAACATGTCAATGGCACTGGATCATAAAGATTAGCAGTATAATACAGCTGTAGATGTACATAACAAATAGAGAGATGAGCAAATTTCTCAGAAAGGAGGCAATAACTGTGTTCTTCTTTTTTAATTGTTGGGGAGGCTGTAACTGTTATTCCATCAATAGGACTCCATATGTTACAAGGCATTCAGATCATACAGTGGTCCTGGATTTTATTTGTAGAGTTTCTTTTTTCCTTATTGTTATTTACTGTTCAAAAAAATGCTGGTCCGACTAGGGCGACTTGGGGCTTGCCAGAGTTAGAATGGATCGAGAACTAGGGGATACTAGGTCGAAAAAACCCGCAATTGCACTAGTATCCCCCAGTCCAGGTCAGCCTTGCCTGAGTCGGATTGGAGAGATTCAAGCTCAGCCCCCAGCTAGTCAGAGCCCTAGCCCAACTTTTAAACAGTGCTGTCCAACTCTAGCATAGTTGTTTGGTGTTCAATCCCTTGATGTGGATACTCTTCCATTTCGTGAAGCTCAGATATTTTATGAAATTTTGCCCAGCATAGCTGGCGCACATGCATTTCTAAATTATAGAAGCCATGGTAGAAGAGCAACATGGGATGAAAGAAAAGAAATACATCTGAATCAAACTCATATTAGGGAGAATATAAAGATAAGTGAGCGTAGGAAAGAACATGCTTAGGGTTCCAACTCTCAAATTGTCATAGAACATCTATTATACAATTACTCTCATAGGAAAATTCATGGTTGAATTTTCCCACAGAGAAACTCATGGACACCACCATTCACCTCAAGCAAGCTACCCCCTGCCATCCTCTCTCTTCTCCCTAGCCCTTTCATAACTTCTCTAACCCTCTCAACATCCCCCCACCTCTCAGCTTCGGCATACAAATTTGATAGATTTACATAAGCCTCACTGCTATCACCGAAGTACTTGTTAATAAGTTCCTCACCCATCTCAACATTCCCAAGAATCCGACAAGAACTCAAAAGGGACCCCAACACAGAGGCACTCGGTTCCATAGGCATTACCTCTATAATATCTCTTGCCTCCCTTAAAAGACCAGCTCGTCCGAGAAGATCAACCATGCATGCATAATGTTCAACTTTGGGCTCAATTCCATAGCTTTTGGTCATTGAACGAAAGTACCGGTGCCCTTCATTGACCAACCCTGCATGTGTACAAGCAGTTAAAATCGCAACAAAGGTGATTTCATCAGGCTTCACTCCCTCTCTCCGCATGTCCTCAAAGAGGGAGAGAGCCTGCTCGGCCCGCCCGTTTATGGCGAGGCCAGATATAATAGCAGTCCATGAGTGAGAATTCTTTACAGGCATCTTGTTAAAAACCTCGATTGCTTGTTCCACAACACCACACTTTGAATACATGCTAATGAGAGCAGTGTTGAGGCAAACTCCTGGTTTGACACTGTTTCTATCCATGAAAACATGAATCCATCTGCCTAATTCCATAGCACCCATTTCAGCTGAAAGGGAAAGAAGGCTAACTAGGGTCACTTCGTCCGGTTTGACATTAGCCACTTGCATCTCTCGGAAAAGCGACAGAGCTTCATCAAACTGGCTGAATTTCACGTAGCCCGTGATCATGGAGGTCCAAGAAATTCGATCTTTTTCAGGCATCTCATTGAAAACAACTCTTGCTGCTTCGATATCTCCACATTTTGCATACATATCTATTGATGCATTTTGCAAATTCAAGCTAAATTTAATCATATTCTTGTGAACATAATCAAAAGCTCTCTGGGCCAAATTGAGATCACGCAATTGGGCACACACCGAGAAAAGAATCAACATTGTGGTCCCATTTGGTCTCACACCAGAGGCCTGCATTTCAGCAAAAGAAGCCATTGCCTCAGATGGGTACCCACCACGGACATAACCAGAAATCATCACATTCCAAGAGACCACATTTTTGTCAGGAATTTCGTCGAATATTCGACGAGCAGTGTTAAGACACCCGCATTTTGCATACATATCAACAATCGCAGTCCTAAGGATTAAATTAATATTAAATTTACAAATATTAATGTAATCATGGACCCATTTGCCAAGATCCATTCTCTTAAGTTTAGAACAAGCACATAGTAAAGCCACCATAGTTATCTGATTAGGAGAGCCCCCATAATCATCGCTAACCATTTTCCCAAACAATTGAAACGCTTCCTCAGGTTTATCACCGTGCGCATAACCCATGATCATGGTGTTCCAAGAGACTGTATCTCTGTTATAAGAAAGATCGAACAATGTCCGAGAACTACCCAGATCACCGTTAACAGAGTACATGTTCAATAGAGAATTGTGGACAAAAATATCAGCTTGGTGCCCAGTTTTTGAAACAAAGCCATGGATTTGGACCCCGACTTTGAGAAGACACAATTTGGAACATGATTTGAATAGAAATGGAAAGGTCAAATTGTTGGGTTTAAGGCGCCTTGACAGCATGTGGTTGAAGAACAAGATGGCGTTTTGTGGGTTGTCACCGTTAGTGTAGGCTCTGATGATGGTGTTGCAGAGAAGGACCACGTCTCGCAGGAGAAGTTGGGACGGGAATTTCCCGCCACCAGACGTCAGAAACAGGGCGTGGAGCTGCCTAATTTGCTCCAGGCATGGAAGCATGACATCGCCGGAAAGATATTCCAGTCAAAACTCGCGGGGAAATCAACATTTCAGATGACCCACTAGAGTGTTTTGCTAGTAAGAGCCGATCAATCCATCACCGCACCAGATCGGTCTGCCTGTCGGACGACTGGGCCGGCCTCCAATGGAGCCGGTCGTTTACGTCTAAAGTAAAGATTTGAAAAAAGGGTTTTAGATATGGGAAAAATTTATATAAAGCTGAGGCCCTAAATAATAATCAGCCTCACCTCGTAACTTATCCAATATTACAATTCAAGCATTACAAAACCTGTAACATTGATCATTTTGGCTCACCTAATAACTTATGGAATCTTACAATTCAAACATTTGAAAATCTTTACATTGATCATCTTGACTTGAACATTATGATTGTTAAAAAAAAAAGATTTCAAGCTCTAAAACTAGTACATATTATAACAAATTATCTAAACTATCTATTTTATTTTAAAAATAAGTATTCATGGATCCACAAGATTATACCATTTTTTGAGTTTCGAATTTCTTAATTGGTGTTAAAAATTGATTTTATAGACATCGTGGAGATTTCCATTGTCGAAAATACTCTCTAAATGAGGATTTGATGTGAAGCTTTATTTTAATTTCATAAAGCCGGAGCCCATAGAAACCTTATCCTAAATAAAAATTATTTGGTCATTGTGGAACTCTAAATTCATTAAAAATTTAAAAAACTATTTGAAGTTTCAACAAAGTTCAGAAAACAAATGGGCCTTGTGCTGCAAAAGTGTGCTAAACGTGCCTCAGTGTCTCGGAATAATGCAAGCATGAAAATATCCGACCGTAATTACTCTTTCACACACGTCACATTTATACACCATTTTAAGGGTGGAAGATATAACTTCACACGTTGTAAGAGAACAGAAAAAACAATGTTTATAAGATGTAAAATTCAAGTATCTTTATCTATAGCACGTCGATGTGCTCACAGAAAATTATCCACCCACAAAAGCTGTAGGTGTGAAGCTACAATTGTCGTTTGTAATGATTTAAACTACGGATTGTAGTGGCGGATGACCCTGACCCTTTCACTGATTCCCCTAGAGTTCGGGGATCAGTAACCTGATGAAACAGAACAAGGAAAAAAATTGAAAGAAAAAACCTTTTTGCGTATTTCGTTAAAGAATCACCCGTCAAGGTCACAACCCACTTATAGTTATTATAATGCTGTCTAATTTTGTGTTTTCATCCTCCACAAAGCTTTAAAAATTCATTCTTGGTTCCATCTTAGGTGACTTACACTTAGCTGCTAATCCCCAGAAATTTCTTTGACAATCAGTACTTACAGGCCACGGAAAATATGGTACAGCAACACAGATTGTTCCCATCTGGCTTCGGTTGTCTCCAAAAAAGAGAAAGAAATTGATGAAAGCAGTTGAGGTTTCCAGTTTTTATATTAAGGATATTACTCTGCATTAATATTATTCCAAGTCTAACTGATACATTATCTCTTGGGGTATGCAAACATTAAAGCCCACAATGTTCTCACTAAACTAAAATTTCAGACTCCCAAAAATAAAAGAAACAGCAAAAGAAACTCAAATTCTCAATTCATTTATTGTTGTCACCACCGAACTGAGTGGAATTCCCATTCCAGAAAGTATTTCTGTCACGGGATGCATCATCATTTTCGTCATGATTTAGGGTGTGGATGTTGCCTCCCCAACGCTTGGTCGCTGCTTTGCCACTGCTAACAACCCTTTCCCCTGCACTGGTTTGGCTCCTATACATGGCATCCGATCTCTCTGAGCCTGCTAGGGAACTCCGAAGATTTGCATTCGGCCCTGTTTACATGCCAGACATTAAGAATTCGTAAAGTCTCAAAAAACACACACACACATGCACACACATGACCGAGAGAGTGTGTGTGAGACTCACGATACTGCCATGCATTGGATAAGGAAGCCTGTTGTTGATGATCTGATGAGTTGGTGATACCACCACCACCAACATAGGAGAATGGATTGAGGTAGGATAACATCCTCCAAATTAAACCAGGACTGCTTTCATGAGAAGGATCTTGTGAATTGCCTGCTGCATTTGCTTGTGAAGATGTTTGTCCTCTGCGGGGCTCAACGGATGGGTTGCGGGGAATGATGATTAACGCCTCCCTGCTACCCATCCCAAGCTCCAAAAGCGTTTTGCTCATTTCTGAATCAGTTGATAATAGAGCCATTTCAAAATTCAAATAGACAGAACTAATGTCAAAACGTTTAGCAGCAGCAACGGAGCTTTTTTTGTTTTGAAATATTAGCAGTGGGAGTGGAGCCTAGCGGCAATGAAGAAAATTTTTAAGTTCAAATAGTGAAGTAATCATAATTTTCCTACTTTTAACCGAAGCAAGTCAAATAAAAAATAAATATTCACGATAAATACCTGATTCACTAAATATTTTACGTGGGTAAGGGACTGCCAAAGAATATGGTCCAATTTGACTCGTTCTGTTATCATTTATGTACTCTCGAACCATTCCAAGAGTATCTGTTTCTTCAAACTTTTCTTTAATGCTCTTGCCATCTGGAAAACGAATATGCAGATGCACATCACTCAATTTAGTAAGAGATGAACGGTCATCAACTTTAGCATCAAAAGTGCAGTGGTCAATTTCAGGAGCATTGGCAACTGTCTGAGTATTTTCTTGTGGAACCACATATTCAAAAGCAGGAAACCCCTCGACTTCTTCAGTACTTGTACTATGCATATCATCCAAAGAAACATTTTTCTGTTGTGCATGGCTACCACCATAAATATCAAAAGACCTAACATCAACAGTAGAGCAAGATACATCAGCAGTCTCGGGAATCAAAGAACTTTTAGTATCTTCACTTGATGGACTTTTTTGCTCAACACTTTCACCCTCTGATTGTGGGAAATGAGTCCCTTCAGCAGCAGTGCCAATGCTGAGTTCACTTTCTTCAAGCTGAGCAATGACATACAACAAAAATGTAATACTCGACTCATTATTTTTCTCATCTAACCACCAATGAAAAGTGAATTTGCAAATCAAATGCCAGGGAATGTGCTTACTTTTGGTGTAGGCTCACGATAATTGCTTTTCGGTTCTAGCAGTGAGGCATCTGATGGTTTGCGCTCTGACTCTTTATTTGTTGGAGATGATGATGGTTTAGCAGGTATTGAAGACTCTCCATGCCCCACAGACGATGCATCAGAACTTGAACTTTGTGGATTATTTGATAGAAGTGCAGCTGTCATGATAGCTGCAGCTGTTTCCTGAAACTCATCCAAGGGACTAATTCTGTTAAGTGGTTTTCTCATATTAGTACTTATTTTGGTACAGTTAACTGAGATTTAATTGAGGAAATGCAAAGAGAGTACATTATCAGGCTCACACAGCCTGAGAAAGAAAGAAATAAAAGAAAAAAGGAAAGAAAGAGAAAAGGTTACAATGAAGCAGCACTTCTCGCTACCACTGTTCTCATATTACTACTTTAAAGTCTATTTATATTTCAAAAAACAAAACAACTTGAGATATATATCATCCTAAATAGAAAAGTGATTTACTATGAGAACCAAAGCGTCTATAGCACTCACTCGGAAATGGAAGTCATCCCATGCCTTTTGTATACCAGCTACTAATGTTTCAGGACTGGCATAACCATCTGGCAAAAACACACAAATATAATATCCAAACAAGCACCACATGTCAAAGGGCTTTTAACATTTACATCAAATAAAGACATTTTAGGGTCCTACATTCTCAGGAAGACAATCATACCATGCTGCCAGAGCAAAATTCCATTATACCCAACTGCTGAAATGTTCGGGACAGATTTCTGTGGATCTACAGATGCTTGAATAAAGGATAACATTCTTCTATCCCGTCAACTGAATTTTAAGCAATAAAGTCTGATTCTTAAAACTACAATAATATGAACATAAAAGAATGGAAAAGCAACACTGATACACCAGACTGCTATATATATAGTCTTCAATTCAGTGTTCCATAGAGGTCCGAATATATTGAGCTTGATTGTCACTTGATGTGGGAAATGCTGCTAGTAAAGACATAGTATCCCATGCATGAAGTCTGAGGACCCCTTCATAGAAAAATTCATTAAGGCCCTTTAGAATGATCAGTTATCTCGCATACTAGACAAGGTAAATATGCTGGACATCGATGCTCCTGCTTCAAGGGAAGGGTTAAAGATAATATTTCACAAACTTGTTAATCATTCATTACCACCCTCACGACACTTATTGCATAATGTATAATGGTAATTTCTGTCCAGTTGTAAATTCCCCATTTAAGGCGTAATTAGATAAAATAATGGCTCATTAATTAACATCCTTCCCCAATTCTTTTTTCTCTCTCGGTTAGATAACAGCTTGCCTAATTCCAAACCCATAGTCATTATCCACATTTGTAATAAAACATAAATCACCAAAGCCAGGGAACAAGGAACAATAGTAAAGATGTTTTCAAGCTTGAAAAATACAATAACCAGCATATCTTTGTAGGGAACCATATAGAACAAAACCATGTACAGGATACAGCAAACAGAAAACTGCTTTTCATCAAGACTTCCCTCTCTGAGATGCAAGAAAATGCAGTGCTTTGACACTGAAGCCTTCACCTGAATGAAATAAATGAGGAACCAGGAGACATTTACATACTTAAATTACTCAAAAACAATGATAAAACTCACATCCAGGTCCATCCATGTGGACTGCTCAAGGCTCCAAGAAGCTTCATCTGTACCTGAAATTGAAGCCTTAACTTAGAAAACAACCTCTTATTCGTTAGAGAGTTAACCAGCAACTTAAAGACAGCCAGTGCGGCTTCCTAGCTCATCAAAGCGACTTTAATAACAAATAAATGAGGCAAGAAATATTAACACGATTAACCTGATATGTAAACCAAAAGAATCTTTTGTTGGCTCCTTGTTTCATTTATTGCTTCAGGAACGGATCCTTTAAATGCTAACAAGGAAGCTGAGCTTTCCATCTGCTTTCGTACAAGTGAAAAGAAAAATATATAACAGAGATTAAAGACAAAATAAAACTATCCCACTAACCCAGAGAAAGCAAAATTATGATTTCTTTCAAATTCCCAATGTCTCAAAAAGTTTGATATTGAAAGACAAATAGGAAGAACAAACAATGTTCATAATGAGAAAGTGCTTGCTTGTGCTATTCCCCATCAGGAAATTACCAATAGGCACCGCATACCAAAAGAAAAAGAAAAGGCAGAGCATATCAGTACAAAACAAACATTACAAAAACAACAGAAGCACTGATAACTAACCATGGATCCAAGGAGAGCTAGACATATACTTTACAACTTCAGAATAACCAAAACAACAAAAAAAAAACAGAAACTTATCAAACTCCACCTATTTGAAGTTCAAATAGGTAATTTGAAACTATGAACACCTTAACCATATCTTTTTTATCCAGTTTCAAATAGCCTATCATTCTTTTGATCAAATTTTAATTAGCACCCCAAAAGAAACATTAAAATGGTTTTGAAATTAATCAAAATACACCTAGGGTGAACTGTTAAATAGTTCAACATTTAGATATATTTTGATATATTTCCCAGAAAAAAATGATAACCAGTAATATATGAAAGTGCGATAGAACTTGGTGTCTTTTTTTATTTTCTCAAAAAAATAGGAACCCAATCTTCTTCTAAAGCTGATGAGAAAATTCACCCAACACAATAAAATGCTTAAATTCATTCCAATCAATAATAAGAACTAAAATTTAAGTGTCCCTAAATAGAGCAAACAAAACAGATTCAAGATACCCCCAATTAAACCCCAAAAAAATATCAATTTTCAATTTTATAACATTGCCTAGACCAAAACAACAGTAATAGCACAAAAACACACATGAATGTTATGACGAAGGGAGAAAATTAATAGAAACAAAAACAAGGCATCAAACCTGCACAAGGAAGAAGAACCAAATAAAAAGGAAAATTACCAGAGAAATAAAGTATACAAGAAAAAGAACAAAATATCAAACAAAAATATGGGGTTTCAGAAAAATTCACATAAATACCAAAATTCAGAGGACGAACACAAAATCAGCGATTCGTAGATGGGGGCTCGCAAAGCTTCCTTGTGGAGAATTATTAAGGTTAGGGTTCATTAAACAATCGAAATCCGTAATTCAGAGACACAAACCTACGAATTGGCGATGCAGTGTACTATTATTGCAAATCAGAGATGTACTATATACTATAGACTATCTTTTAAAATGGCAAGTATACCCTTATTTGGATTTGAATTTTCTTATCATTTTGTTCATGGTTTGATTTGAGAATGCCCCAACCAAAAACTAAGAGAATATTATTTTAAGGAAGAAGTTTACACAGAGCCAAAGCTCTAAACAATCAAATTAGAACCAACCTCAAAAATTTCAAATTTCACTAGACGAGGTTGTTTTGATGCCCAAATATCTTCAAATTAATCATCTCAACATCAAGATGGATGGAACGTGAGAAAAAATTGGATTTCAAGTTTTGGAAATAGTGCATCTTATAATATATTTTTGGACCATCGATTTTCAAGTTTTCATAGATTTGTTCAATTTGTATTATTTTTAAGCTTTAAATTTTATAACTAAATATGATAATATATTTTAATGCTATCACAAATATTTCAAGTATTGAATCTGCATTTCTCGACACTATTTGAAGGTGTGCTTTACTTTGATTGTTTAGAGCCTTCACTCCATACAAACCGCACCCTTATTTAAAGGGTTCGAGAATGCCCCAACCCACAAAAAAAAAAGGGAATATTATTTATAGGGTGAGGTTTTTATAAGGTGCTGACTATATATTTAATACAAGTAAGGCACACCTCTAAACTTTATTGGAAGATATAGTTTCGGTGTTGAAAAACCTTATAGTGATTTGAAAAATCCATATTTAACCTTAATTATGAAATTAAAATTTCAAAAATAGGGTACAACACGCACTTCTAAAAATAATTGAACATCTTAAAAAATAGATAATCCAACTAACTTGTTACAAGATGCGCCACTATTAGGACTTGGAAATCTTTTTTCTTTATTTCTATACATTTTTAACTCAATCAATTGGAAAGTTTTCCAACTTCAAAACCCTCTTTTCTATAAGATTTTGAGGTGCACCTTACTTCTCTATTATAAAATTGCAACCTTATATAAGAAATTTTCCTATTTAAATGACCAAACCACTTAGGAAGTTCAATTAGATCAACTGATTTATTGGTAAAGTGGTTATTTTAAAAAACAAATATTTCAAAAATAGAAAATCATCAAATTACCAATAAGATATTCATTATTTAACTATTTATACATTGACAATTATTCCAACACACATAGTTATTTAGATAAATTTCCCTTTAAAAAAACCTGAAATTGCCTTAAATTGAAGCAACTTACTCTACTTGAGTCACTCACAACCAAATGACCTAATGCCCTTGCTTGTTCCTCTGGAATCAAGCATATGATATATTTTTTCTATTATAAGAACTTTGATAGAAACTGGCTCAATGTTAAGTAGTCCGAATATTGGGGTAACACAACATGACATCATGAGTTCCATTTCTATTACCGGCAAAAGCCCTTATCTTTTGAATTGCCCAAAAAAGAAAAAAAATATATTTTAGGTTTAGAATTCATAACATCATGAGTTCCATTTCTACTACCGGCAGAGGCCCTTCTCTTTTGAATTACCCAAAAAAGGAAAAAAAATATTTTAGGTTTAGAATTCATAATAGCCCTTCTCTTTTGAATTACCCAAAAAACAAAAAAATAATAATTTAGGTTTAGAATTCATAATAGCCAGTGATTTGATCTAGTCTCTTTTGAATTACCCAAAAAAGAAAGAATATATTTTAGGTTTAGAATTCATAACATCATGAGTTCCATTTCTACTGCCGGCAGAGGCGCTTCTCTTTTGAATTACCCAAAAAAGAAAAAAAAAAATTTAGGTTTAGAATTCATAATAGCCCCTTCTCTTTTGAATTACCCAAAAAAGAAAAAAAGAATATTTTAAGTTTAGAATTCATAGTAGCCAGTGATTTGTTTTAGTCTCTTTTGAATTACCCAAAAAAGAAAAAAAAATATTTTAGGCTTAGAATTCATAACATCATGAGTTCTATTTCTACTACTGGCAGAGGCCCTTCTCTTTTGAATTACCCAGGTTTAGAATTCATAATAGCCAGTGATTTGTTATAGTCTCCTTTGAATTATCCAAAAAAGAAAAAAAATATATTTTAGGCCTAGAATTCATAACATCATGAGTTCCATTTCTACTACCGGCAGAGGCCCTTCTCTTTTGAATTACCCAGGTTTAGAATTCATAGTAGCCAGTGATTTGTTCTAGTCTCTTTTGAATTGCCCAAAAAGAAAAAAAAATATTTTAGGTTTAGAATTCATAACATCATGAGTCCCATTTCTACTACTGGCAGAGGCCCTTCTCTTTTGAGTTACCCAAAAAAGAAAAAAAAAAAAGTTTAGGTTTAAAATTCATAATAGCCAGTGATTTGTTCTAGAAAAACAAGATATAATGAAAGAAACCGCACTTGTTCTAGATTTGGATAGATTGGCCTCACTTAATTCACTTGAACTAGATGATACAAATATCCCCATTTATCGTAGATTCCAAGCTCAAAGTAAGATATAATGAAAACGCATTTGTTCTAGATTTGAAACAACAAACAAACAATTACTCAGGTCATTTAGCAAAAATAAATCAAGTGGGTCTATTGCCTAATTGCTCTTGTTTGTTTAGGGTTCCAAAAAGATAATAAGGGAAATTGAATGCATAGATATCCCAAAATAAAATTTAAACTTATAAATTTGGCATGGGTGTGACCAATGTTTTAAAAACCGAATTGACTTAAACTTATAAATTTGGCATGGGTGTGACCAATGTTTTAAAAACCGAATTGACTTACTGAATCGGTCGCTAGCTGAGCTAAATATAGATCAGTGGATCGAGAAGGATGAGCCGTACTAATCTAGCAAATTTTTTTTTTTTGAGCCCAAACAATCCCAAAAATAGCTAAACATTTTAAAAAAATGAGATTATATTGCATTTTCTAAAAAATATTGATGAAAATATACTTGTTTTCTTATGAATTTATCGAAAACACTTATATAATAGTTTCCTGATTTCTTGAAATTGGGGTTTAGATCCAAAATTTTTTGTTTTATTGATTTATTGGAGCATTGAGAAATGATAAAAATGAGTACAAAAAATAGATGCAAATAGAGAGAAATTGGGACAAAACACAAAAATTGGATTGCATTAGAAAAAAATTCTTAAAAATCCAAAATTCATGGTTCAAATTTCTTCAATTCTTCATTCATATCAAAACAATTCTCGCACATATATGATAGAGGGTGAAAATAAACAAAATTCCTCGAGTTTCACAAATATATGAATAATAAAAGATGAAAGAAAGACTTATGTAATCTTTTGTCGCGGAAGTATAATTTTTTTTTTTTAAATAATAATCATCCCTTATAATTTTTGTAACAAGATCACTCACAGATGGTCTTATTACAAACAATAGAAATTCCAAAAATAAATAACACATCAATAAAATAAATCTCAACTACTTTATGCCATTCATTAAACCTAATATTATGCTTGAGAATATAAAATAAAAGAAAAAAAAAGATGCCAGAGATTACCTCAACCGGGCTTTTTACACCCCACACCGAGTCACCACATCCAATGGCACGGGATCAGCGGTCTAGCTTCAATCTCAAATCATAAAAGCTAATTTCGGCCAAACTAAGTAACCACCCTTAAATTAGATCACGAGAGAGAGAAAGTCTCTATTTTCCAACCCATAGATTAGATCATGAGAAAGAGAGTCTCTACTTTCCAACCTTTAGATTAGATCATGACAGAGAGAGTCTTTATGTTGGAGCGTACCCCTTAGGGTTTTTTTAGGAGAGAGAGAGTAGAGAGAGAAAATCCGATAGTAGAGAGAGAGGGGTGTGGCACTTAGGGAAGAGAGAGAGAGTTTATGGGAGAGAGAGAGGTGTGTAGAGATAGGGGAGAGTACCCCTATTTATAGTGAAATTTAGGTCTATGGTTTTTTTAGGGTTTCCCATAGTTTGCATGTTTCTTGAGATTAAATATGGATCGTTGATCAAGGTGACTTGTGGGGTGAGAGATCTGAGCTATCCATTCTATAGATGGCTATCAACATTATGGAAGGTGCATGAACCATTATCCCCCTTTTCTTAAACCATTTTCCCATCAATATATTTAAATAAATTAAATTCATTAAAAATATAGTGCATACCATAATTGCATATTCCATCTCACATTTTCTATAAGAATATTTGAATAATATCAAGTCAAGATATTCATTCAATAATCAATATAAGATATGGTCAATATTTCCTAATCAATATTTGACCATATGCTACAAGATATAATTACCATATTTAATAAACTTGAAGACAAAGCAACAAGAGAAGGTATCCAAGGGTGGGGCGTGCCACCCAATTATGGTATATGGGGCCCCACCTAATACCCACATGGTGGGCCCATGTGCACTATGGGCCCCCATGTATTTTTTTTAATAAATATTTCAAATTTAAAAATGAATTTTAAAACATTATAACTTTGTAAATTAATAGCTTCATTTTTATAAGTCCAAAAATAAGAAATAAAATATCAAATGACTTATAAAAATTCAAATAATAAATCAAAATAATTTAATAATAAAATGAACACAAGTAAATTAATATGATGGGAAGTGGATCCATATGGTTCATGAATTCAATCAACGATCATAGGGTACTCCACCTTCAACTGTAGACTACAAACCACACTTCTTTTATCGAACCGACTCAGTGTTTCCCATGACCCACAGTCCAAGCATGAGATTATTAGTAGATCACCAAAGTCTGGTCGATGAGCTAAAGAGTCGCAATCCCAATCTGTGGATTACAGGTCCTCTCCTAGAGACAAGTCAACGTCACCACGACCTGATACGACCACAGCTCTGTGGCGCATACGGGTATCTATCGCACATGCATATGCTTCAACCGAAGGTGAATATCTAGCTTCCCCGAAAGATCTATCCATATGCATGCCATGTGATGGAACATAGATGAGGTTTTGACCCCTATCTCTGTAGGCCTACCATCACACACAAGGGTTACATCGTCCCTCGGCTCACTCATCTAGGCATAAGGTTCGACCTCATCAAGGGCTAACGCAAAAACCCTTCTCGATTTATTTTTTTATGCCCAAGTACCTTGGGTTTTCCAATCAGCTGGCCTAGATCGTCAAGCACAGTTCGGTATCCGCAAATATCATTTGCTTAGTATGGTCTTCAAGGGACCACACTCCCATTGAGTTTATGTTCCACTACAATAAATATTTTTTATTACACACTCATAAGGCCTTTAAATGCCACTTAAACCCAACAAAAGAGAAACAAAATCACAAATCACATACTTGAAAAGTATGGTTGGGTTCCATTTCTATCACGGGTAGGGACCGCTCTCCTTTGATTTACAATATTTAGGAATGGGCTCAAAGCTAGTGGTAATCGTGATTGATTGCCAAAACTCAATATTGTCAGGTTTGCTTCGGAGTCTACTTCGGTTTGGTCTAAAAAATGAAGCAATTTGGTGCTTTGGCTAATTCAAGGGAACACTTTAGGCTTTTTTTTAATTTTAAAATATATATTTTTTAATTTTATAAAAATTCTAAAAATAAAAATTGTAATAATAAATAAATTTGTTACAAATGAAAAATATAAAAATATAATATAGACTCACATTGAAATTACAGACAACATCTAATGACTTAATATCAGCTGGCGTTTGAGAAAATCTCACAAAAATATTCAAATTGTCACTCAATATATTGTTTGAGTCGCAACTTATAACGTTATAAACTTCATTATCTTAGTACAAGACCAATCCATGCATCATTAAAATTATCTAGCTATA